CCATGAGCAAGGTATGTTTTTCCACTTCTGCAGGTCTCTTTTGGTTTCTTGCAGTAGTGTCTTGTAGTTTTCATTGTATAGGTCTTTTACGTCTCTGGGTAGATGTATTCCTAAGTATTTTATCTTCTTGGGAGCTATTGTAAGTGGTATTGATTTGGTGATTTCCTCTTGGAAATTCTCTTTGTTGGTGTAGAGGAATCCAGCTGATTTTTTGTATGTTTATCTTGTATCCTGATACTTTGCTGAGATCTTCTATTAGTTCCAGTAGTTTTGTTGCGGATTCTTTGGGGTTTTCTGTGTATAAGATCATATCATCTGCAAAAAGAGATACTTTTACTTCTTCCTTACCAATTTGGATGCCTTTATTTCTTTTTCTAGCCTAATTGCTCTGGCTGGGACCTCCAGCACAATGTTGAATAAGAGTGGTGATAAAGGGCATCCTTGTCTGGTTCCTGTTCTCAAGGGAAATGCTTTCAAACTCTCTCCATTTAGGATGATGTTGGCTGTTGGCTTTGTATAAATGCCCTTAATTATCAACATAGTCTATTGTTTTTAATTTTCACTTATCGTCATTTTATTTTGAGTTTCCTTGATGGCTAGTGAGGCTGAATGAATTTTCAGGTTATTTGTCTGTACGTTTTAGGGCAGTGGATCCTAACCCTGACTGCATATGCCTAGGCCCCAACATAGATTACTTAAATTAGAACTTGTAGGGATAGAGCCTAGGGATCAATATTTTTCTAAAAGCTTCCCCATGTGATTCTAATGTGCATCCAGGATTGAAGACTACAGCTTTAGGGAAGAAAATGGAAGGAATTGTTAAAACTCTTGGTTTTTTGTTTTTGTTTTGTTTCTCGTTCTCCTGATCTACTACTCTTCTGTCAGTTTGAATAGCAGTGGAACATTGTCTGTTTCATTCTGTTGTATGTCGGGTTGCTATGAGTCGGAACCGACTCGATGGCACCTAAGAACAACAACTGATCCCAGTCCCGACTTTTACAGACATGCTTATTTTTCACATGTTTTTCCAATTACTCGTCCAGAGAAACAAATTCTTAGCCTTTTTGAAATCAAAATAATAGACAGTCTGGTCTTAAACACAACCTAAAAGTTGTCCCTAAATTTTAGAACATGAGTATTATGCTGTCTCCTAGTGCTAATAGTTAAGAAAACCGAAAATAAAGTTAGAAAACCCATATATTCTTCAGGCAAGTTGAGCAATAGAAGTTTAGACCAAACTGATAGGTGTGCTGAATAGGCAGCCAACAATGACAAAGGAAGGCTCTAAGGTTTTAATAGGTGCACTGAATCAGTGTATGCTTCAAACCATGCATAACACTACAGGGGAGCAGCCTGAATATCAAACATTAGGAGAAGTTAGGTAAGTTATAATACATTCACTTAGTGTTATATAATACAGCTATAAAAGATGATGGCTATGAAGACTAGATAACAACATGGGAAAATGCTTGTTGTTGTTGTTAGGTTCCATCGAGTTGTTTCTGACTCATAGTAACCTTATGTACAACAGAACGAAACACTGCCCAGCCCTGCACCATCCTCACAATCGTTGTTAATGCTTGAGCCCATTGTTGTAGCCACTGTGTCAACCCATCTCATTGAGGGTCTTCCTTTTTTTTGCTGACCCTCTACTTTACCAAGCATGATGTCCTTCTCCAGGGACTGATCCCTCCTGATAACATGTCCCAAGTAAGTGAGACAAAGTCTCGCCATCTTGCTTCTAATGAGCATTCTGGCTGTTCTTCTTCCAAGACAGATCTGTTCGTTCTTTTGGCAGTCCATGGTATATTCAATATTCTTCACCAACACCATAATTCAAAGGCATCAATTCTTCTTTGGTCTTCCTTTTTCATTGTCCATCTTTCACAGGCATATGAGGTGATTGAAAACACCATGGCTTGGGTCAGGCGCATCTTAGTCTTCAAGGTGACATCTTTGCTTTTTAACGCTTTAAAGAGGTCTTTTGCAGCAGATTTGCCCAATGCAATGTGTGGTTTGTTTATGATATAATAAATGAAAAAGCATAAAATAAAAATTTTAATGTAGTAAATGTTTAAACAAAAGATGCTTATAAAAAGACTAGAAGGAAATAAACTTCTATCATATTACTCATCATATTGGGAATTGGATTTTTTCCCAGATTTTCTATAATTTATCATCTTACTTTAGATAACAAATTCATTTTTTAATAATCCAAATGTTCAGAATAAGAGAAACAGTAGCTGTCTGGCATGAAAAACAAGAGACTTGAGTTTTACTGTCTCAGGGCAGGATGGGTCAAAAAAATTCTGTTTTGACATCAGAGTAATATGGTGTGTATTACATCACAACATCAGAGTAACTGTGAACAGCTGGGAAACCCAGAAGACAACAGATAGGTTGTTTGTATACTGCTGGATGTTACACCTCTGAAACTATCTAGACCAGAGGATGCTGAAACCTGGTGGTGATTTTTACTAAGCTATTCCTAGTAAAAAGGAAAATCAGAACATTTTTGAAACGGAAATATCTGTTTGTAAAGAATCTAAGTTACACAGCAGTGGCCTTTAGTGGAAAGATCACAGGTTCTTGGGTCAAATTAATCTGATTTCAGTCTTACTGCTGTCCCTTCTTAGCTGTGTAGCCTCGGCAAGTTCTCTTCTGCAGGCCTCTGTCAGGGGTCCCCAAGATTACTCTTAGGTTTGATGACTCACTAGGAGTACTCACAGAACTTAGAAAAGCTATTATACTCACAGTGATAGTTTATTTCAGTGATAGGATACTGATCAAAATCAGCAAAGGAAAAAAGGCACATAGGACAGTGTCCAGGAGAAACAAGATATGAGCAAGCTTCCAGTTGTTCTATCCCAATGGAGTTGTACAAACAGTGCTTAATTTTCCCAGCAATGATGTTTGACCACTCCTATGAAGTATTGCCAACAAAGAAAACTCACATAAGCCTTGGTGTCCAGGGTTTTTATTAGAAGTCAATCACATAGGCATGGAGCACCCATCTCTTGTTATTATCTGTCTTTTTTATTCTAGCCATCCTAGTAGGTGTGAAGTGGTAGCTCATTGTGGTTTTGATTTGCATTTCCCTGATGGCTAAGGATGTTCAGCATCTTTTCATGTGTTTATTGGCAGTAACTTAGATTTATGTTGGAATCAGAATAAAAGTCTTAAGCAGAAACCTATATAGAGTTGGCATTTAGAAGTCCAGATTCAATGTGACAACTGAGAACAGGCCCAGTTATCTGAATTTTAGACTAGGAAATTTAAAATTAATGACTGCGTCAGTGGAGCAGGATTCAGAATTTAGATTTCAGGTGTCAAATTCAAGGAGTTTCCTAAATTTAACTCAGATGCTAAAGCTGTGCCACAACCATCAACACAAGACCAGGGTAAGCCAGAGACTTGAGTCCGTGGGGATGACTTAGGCTGCTGTTATTTTATCCTTGATCCATTCCTCCAGGTGGGGGCCATAAGTCCTGCAGATATGAGGCAGGACAAATACCAGGACCTTGAACCGTTTTTTTCTGGTTAGAACCCTTGCTGAGAATTTGCATTTCTAACAAGTTCCTAGGAAGTTATACATAAGAATCACCAGGGGACCTTGTTAAAATATAGATTCTGATTCAATATTATCTGGGGTGGAAACTGGTTCAAAGCTCTGCAAGTATCCACATCTCATGCCAGACCCCTGACTTAAGCAAGAAGAAGAAACGCAAGAAAGGTGCAAATTGCGGAGGCAAAATAAATTTTAACTGTGTCCAGGTATACCTATGCTCAAATTTATTTTTATAGAAACTACAATGAGAAACATCAGCACCAGAAAACCAAGCTTCGCAGAGTCAAGGATCGTTTAGTTCACGAAGTCCATCTACGAGATGAGAGAATTAAACAGCTTGAAAATGACATTGGAGCACTGCAACAACAAATGGAAAAGGTGAGAAAAAAATAAAAGGTGAAGTGCTCACTGATGATACTGGTGGTCAGTCATTTAGTGAAAGCCTACTCCTTTTTTAATTTATGTATGGCCTCTTCATAGCCCACATTTTTATTTCATTTCTTTGCACCTTCTTTCAATGCGAGTAATTCTTTAAGGCTTGCCAAAAAGTACATAAGGCTCATAGTGATGCTAAAGCACATGGGACACTGAAAATACTCTGCTCCGCCATCTTATGATCACTGTCCTGCCTTCAGATGAAAATGTCTTTTCTTAAACATTCCTTAGCAGAGACTTCCAAACCACCCTCAATAACTCATTCCTGCAGTAGGTAACCTTCATTTTGCCACAAACTTCTTTGTCTGTTTTCAAAAGGGCTTTGACTGGGTTCGTTCATGTTTGAACCCCTGCTGAGGATTTGCATTTCTAACAAATTCCCTCCTGAGAATTTTCATTTCTGACAAGTTTCTGGGAAGTTATATGTATGAATCATCTGGGGATCTTGTTAAAATGTAGATTCTGATTCAGTATATCTGGGGTGGAAATGCAAATGGCATTGAAAACAGGTGATCCCTATCCTTTTACCAGTCTGTGACTAGTGCCTTCAAGCTTTTTTCTGAATATTTATGGTTTCTTATGCCTCTCTTATTGCCTTTGTGACTCACTGGTGTATGGATGAGAAGGAAATGGGACAGATGAATGGAATCAAATGCAGAATAGTCTTGAGATCCTTAGACTACATAAAGTCAAGATAGAGAGCAACTGACTAGACCAGTAATTTATTTTGACTTCTTGGGATCCCCAACCCATTTCAGAATTTTGAAAACTCTGTTCTCACTCCTAAAATACTTACTCCTACACCCAAAAAACTTTATCGTACCACCAGGATACCAAGACAGTTCATATAATTTCAGTCATCCCATGGAATGTCATGGGACTCCAGGTTAAGATTCTCTGGACTACACACAATAAAACATTTGAGGATTATACCAGCTAAGTCACCAATGCTGTATTCTTAGCTTTAAAAAATCCTCTTGATCCTCTAAACTGTAGTAACAGAGCAAAATAGGTTGGATTTGCACAGTATCCTCCTATTTTGTCACTAATTCATCAAACTTCTTTTAGAGACTCAGATCCCGTTTAGGCACATAACCTAGGAGATGAATATAGAAAGTGTATAGAAAAAAGTAGCAGTTTTGATTCATAAGCCCACCAGAAAAGAAATATTATCAACTTACTTCTGTATTATCAATTCCTTCTTGTACTGTCTGCCTTCCGCTTCTAGGCTTACATAGCAAAAACAGCCTCCTGCTTTCAGCAGGCACTTTTTTTCTTCCCTACTATACTGGGTTGAATAGTGTTCCCCCAAAATTCATATCCACCCATAATTGCAGTATGTGACCTTATTTGGAAATAGGGTGTTTGAACGTGTAATTAGTTAAGATGAGGTCATACCAGATTAGGGTGAGGCCTAAATCCAATATGACTGGTGTTCTTATAAGAAGAGAAGAGGACATACACACAGACTCAGACACAGGGGAAGAAGGCCATGTAACTATGGAGGAAGTGATTGGAATGATGCAGCTACAAGCCAAGGAATGCCAATAACCACCAGAATCTAGGGGATAGGCATGGAACAGATCTTCCCTCAGAGCCTCCAAAAGGAACCTACCCTGCCGACACCTTGATTTCAGATTTTTAGTCTCCAGAACTGTGAGAGAATAAATTTCTGTTGTTTTTAAGCCACCAAGTCTGTGGTTAATCGTTACAACATCCCTAAGAAACTAATAACACCTACCCAAAGAACCACAGGTCTCCATGAAATATACCGGAGATCATATATAAGTAGAGGCTAAGAAAGAGTTATTGGATCTTTTGCTCACTGCTCTTGAAGGTAACTATGGGTTTTGGCCTTAGACAGACTTGGATTCAAATTCTAGCCCTGCCACTTAATAGTTCTGTGACCTTGAATAAGTCTTTGCGCATCATTTTCTCATCTGTGAAATGGGGAAAATAATCCCTACCTCACAAGGCTCTTGTGGGGATTAAAATATAAAATGCCTAAAGTGGTACATGGCACATCTAAATTTTAATAGATAGTATTATCCTTCTTTTTGGCATATAACCTTTTGTCGTTGTTAGGTGCCATTGAGTCTGTTCTGACTCATAGCAACCCTATGTACAACAGAACAAGACGCTGCCCAGTCCTGTGCCATCCTCACAATCATTGTTATGCTTGAGCCCACTGTTGCAGCCACTGTGTCAATCTATCTTGTTGAGGGTCTTCCTCTTTTCACTGACCCTCTTAATCTCTTAGAAGCATGTTAATCAGTGGGTGCATAGTAATTCGCAAGAGAAAATGTTAATAGAAGAGTGACGTGAGAGCTTTTAATGCCACAGTAATACATACCTGGGGCCCATGGACCAGAGCCCTGAGCATAAAAAAGCTGAGCTCACTTTCTAAGCACCAAGTCTCCAAAAAATAATGGCAGTTCTTCTGGCTTCATTCCCTCAGACTTCTCTTTATACAGCTACTTTTAAAACCTCCTTTTTGTAGCAAACCAGTTGAGTCCTCTAATTGTTGTGATCATGCAAACCAGATTTTCCAATATATTTTATCCTATTCTCAGAGCAGGTGTCTTGAGATATTTCCAATACCACCCAATATCTTTTCCAGTTATGACTACATAGGGTATTATTTGTGGAATGGCTGCTTCAATTCTGTCTTTCCCATAAATATATTTAAATAACAGCAGGCAAGAGTATTGTTAGACATTGAAGGGTTCAGAATGAAGGGCCTTAAATTGTGGAATGGTGTGCTATAGGGCATGATGTAATCTCCCTTCTATAATTCTTAAACAATAGAAGTCTTTTCTGAATGATTTATATTAGTACCTTATTTAAAAGAAAGAAAGAAAAGTGCCTTCTGGACCCTGTAGTCCTCCCAACTATCGGAAGGTTGGTATTCTTCTCCTACCCCCACTCACTCCCACCTTTGGCCGGTGAGGAACAAACACAGAAAAATGAAGGCACTTTGATGGCACCAATGACTTTGGTAGGTCATTGGTGATGTGAGAATGGCAATTCCACATTTTTGAGCTTCAAATTCCCTCACAAAGGATGATATTTCACTAATATCTACTGACTTTCAATCCAAGATTGTTAGTGTTTTGCTTGTTTGTTTTCACATAAGGCATCTTTGTATCATTTTAGCTGTAGCTTCACTAGCTATTGTTTTGTGGGGGAATCACTGGTGGAAAATGAAACATGGTGACAAGCTAGAAATCAGTTCAGCATCATCGCAGCAAGAATACCCTTAGCAACTGGCTTACATGCTTGACTTGCCACGCCAACTGTGATGCTGACACTGGTTGCAAAGTCAGGTGGCTAAATTTCCATCTTCCCCCCTTTGCCTTAAAAATAATATAACTACAAAGTTGATGGAAATGTATTACATGGAAAACATTTCAATATGGAGCTTCAGAGAATTCAGTTTTATTTGTTGCTGGTTTGATAACTGTAGGACTAAATTATAAATGAGAGCACTGGGACCTTATTAGATATTTTTAAAATGTTAACCCCTCAAAATGATTAAATGTCCAAACAAAATATTGTTGTTGGGTGCTGTCAAGTTGATTTTCGACTCATAGTCACCTCATGGGACAGAGTAGAACTGGATTTTCTAGGCTGTAATCTTTACAGGAGCAGATCCCCAAGTCTTTCTGTCACAGAACCACTGGTGGGTTTGAACTGCCAACTTTTCAGTTGGCAGCCAACTGCTTAACCATTGCACCACCAGGTCTCCAGGGCTCCAAACAAAATACATGACATAAAATAGCCAAAATAAACAGGACTATCTAGCTATAGGAGCCCTGGTGGTGCAGTGGTTAAGAGCTCAGCTGCTAATCAAAAGGTTAGCAGTTTGAGTCCACCAGCGGCTCCTTGAAATCCTATGGGCAGTTTTACTCTGTCCTATAGGGTCACTATGAGTGGGAATCAACTAAATGGCAATGGGTTTTTGGTATCCAGCTATAATGAATGAATAGTCAGCAAACAGATGAGAACAGACGAGAGGACAGGAAAGAAGAAGTGGATGAGTGAAATTTACCATCAGAGTTTAGAAACAGGCTGATGCTCTTAAATCTATAATTTGTTCTCCTGCTGTGGTAATCAGGGGACTTTCTTATCTGTAGGAGAAGGCATTCCAGGACCAGATCACCACCCAGAATGATATCCTGCTCCTAGAAAAAAGGAAACTTTTAGAGCAACTCACAGAGCAAGAAGAATTGATCCATGGCAACAAATCGATAATATCTTCAGTGCAGAGCAGGTAGGTGCAGCCTGCCTGAGGAGCCAATGAACTCTGTGAAGAGAATGCTTCCACCAAACAAAGAGATCATAACAGAGACTGTTCTTTGAGCTTGCGGCCTATCCCATAACTGTTGCTTTGCTGTCTGGTGTTTTCACCAGATCATAGAAGTGACAGAAGTTGTGAAATTTCCTGGAGGAGGCTGGCCAGCCATTCTGATAGGCTCTCTCACAGCAGCATTGCCTTACCAAGGAACCTGCTGTGTGCCTTCTGGCCAGTCACTTCATGTGTATTGACACTCCATTTTTATCAGCAGACCAAGAGAGGATCAGGCTCACAGGGGTGACTTAAATTCATGAAACCCACAGGATACCAACATGCTAATTTTTAATGAGAAATATTCAAAGCAAACAGGAATTCACATATCAGCCAGCCCGAGCATTCTCTCCTCTATAGGAAACTTTAATTATATTTAAAAATTTGCTTGGCAAACACAGGATCAGAGCAAAGAGAGTGGTTTGATCTTAACAGGTAGTGTCACCAATAATAACAATAATGACTAACTTTTTTTTTATTGTGCTTTAGGTGAAACTTTACAGAGCAAATTAGTTTCTCATTCAACAATTCATACACAAATTGTTTTGTGACATAGATTGCAATCCCGGTAATGTGTGAACACTCTCCCCTTCCATACCGCAACTCCCCGTTTCCATCTGTCCATTTTTCCTGTCCCTTCCTGCCTTCTTATCATTGCTTTTGGGCAGGTATTGCCCTTTTGGTCTTGTATACATGATTGAACTAAGAAGCACGTTCCTCACATATGTTATTATTTGTTTTATAGACCTGCCTAATCTTTGGCTGAAGGGTGAACTTCAGGAGTGGCTTCAGTTCTGAGTGAAAAGGGTGTCTGGGGGCCATACTCTTTCGGAATGACTAACATTTTTTAAGCACTCACTATATGCTGGATACTGTTCTAATCTGTTTATGTATATAAATTCATTTGATCCTCATACCAATCCTAGGTGGGAGATACTATTGTTAGCTTTATTTTATGGATAAGGAAGCTAAGTTTCAAAGAGGTTAAGAAATTCAGTCAACCTAGTCAGTGCTGACCAAAAGGTTTGTGGTTCGAACCCATCCAGCGACTCCTCAAAAGAAAGACCTGGTGATCTGCTTCTGTAAAGATTACAGTCAAGAAAACCCTATGGGGCAGTTTTACTCTGCCACATGGGGTCGCTATGAGTCGAAAATCAACTCAACGGCACCTAACGGCAACAGCAGTCAGTGGCAGAGCAGGATGTGATCCTCAGCTGTCTGGCCCTAGAACCTGCACCTAGTCTGGGTAGAGATCTGCCAAGCAGATCAAAATTCTCCTGTCTGCTGCTGTGGGCATACTCTCCTTTGGACATGCCTGGAGAGTCACTGTTCTTCTACTGTCTAAGTCTCCTCTTTCATATATTCCATATAAACTATGGTATTGCTCTTTTCAAACTATGGCATTGCTTCAGACATTCAGGGTCCAATACAATTGACCCATTACCCTTTCTTTAACGTTGATAACGTTCCCATCTTGCCATCCTGAAGACACACTCTGGTCACCTGGATTGGACTTGGATATTTTCCTTAGAGTAAATTTCTTCTACAGGATGTTTCCTCTTTTTACAGATGAGGAAACTGAAGCTCAGATTGAATAATTTGCCAAGGGTCACACAGCTAGTAGTGGAAAAAACAGAACTCAATCACAAGTCTCGGTTTATAACTATTGTACTGTCATGTCTCTCAGATAAACTGTGGCATGGAGAGTGAGCCTGGTATAGTGGTTAAGAGCTCAGGCTTGGAAGTCTGCAAGATCTGAGTTGGCATCCTACCCCTACCACCTTATAGCTTTAAGTTCTTAAACAAGTTACTTTCCCCTCTCTGAGCCAAAGTTTCTACCTCTATAAAATGGGCTTAATTGCAGTATCTATTTTATGATGTTGCTATAAGAATTAAATGAGCTAATGCATGATAAGTTTTAAGTGCTTTCTATGTGGCTAAGTTACAGTGACTAAGTATAAGGTAAATGGTTGCTGATACTACAACTACTGCTGCTGCTGCTAGAGTACAGGATGATGGTACAAGATGAGAACCAGACGCAAGCTGTGTAACTACAATATTTGAAGTAATACAGAGTCTCATTTCAGTCCAACCCCTAAGTTTCTTAAGGGCTGGGACAGCACCTTTTTTGCACATAGTATACCTCTATTCTCAGTATGTATTTAATGACCATGTACTGGCAAGAAGCTTATTAATTTTCACTTGGTCTTGGAATATGGTAGGAATTATTCTGCCAAACTTGGTTCTAAAATCTAAGACCTAGAGGTAGCGGGAAGTGGGCTGTGGTTTTGGATTTTTACCAATGATACAGAAATTTCTAGTTATGCTTTTGATTTGTGCTATTCTTAGAGTACTTTTCCTGGATAAAGAAAATAAGCAATTACAGGAAAACAGTCTCCGGCTCACACAGCAGGTCGGCCTTTTAGAGCGCATTATAAGGAGCATGCAGATTCGCAGAGGAGAGGTAAGATGTTTAATTCCCACTGGGTCCTTAATCTGAAGTTTGGCCTGCTAAGGTTGCTGTGCTGTCTTCCCTTCTTTCTTCATATAGCTGTAGCCCTGCTCTTGGCACAGTAGGCTGTTGCAGAAAGGCTCATTAGCTGCACACCAGGGCAGCAGACCCTGAGACTGCTCTTGGCCAGCTTTGCTCTCCATTAGGCCAACTTTTATTAAATACTCTCCTATGCGATCCCAAAGAGATTTGCATATGCCTCATAGCTTCTCCCTTAACACACTATATTGTCATTGTCTTTTTACTTCTCTATCTCATCAACTTATCAGTGAGCTACTGGAGGGCATTGATTGTCTCTCATACATCACTCTATCTATGGACCGGTGCTGCAGAAATATTTGGGAATGAATGAATGCTAGGCGTTTTCACAAGTATGCCTCATTCTCAGCAATCCTGGTCGACACGTACTGTCTTAGTTACCTAGTGCTGCTGTAACAGAAATACCACCAAGTGGGTGGCTTTAACAAACAGAAATTTATTTTCTCACAGTTTAGGAGGCTAGAAGTCCAAATTCAGGCACTGGCTCTAGGGGAAGGCTCTATCTGTCTCTCTGGAGGAAGGTCCTTGTCTCTTTCCAGCTGCTATTCCTAGGTTTCTTGGCAATCATGTGGCATGTATTTTCCCTTATGTTTGTACTTGCTTGCTTGTTTAATCTGCTCTCTTATATCTCAAAAGAGATTGACTTAAAACATACCCTACATTAATACTGCCTGATTAACATAACAAAGAAAACCCATTCCAAAATGGGATTATAACCACAGGTATAAGGGTTAGGATTTACAACACATATTTTAGGGGGACACAATTTAGTTCACAACATGTATCATTATATCACATCAATTCTTCAGTCTTCCTTATTTATTATCCAGCTTTTGCATGCATATGAGGTGATTGAAAATATCATGGCTTGGGTCAGGCACACCTTAGTCCTCAAAATGATGTCTTTGCTTTTCAACATTTTAGAGAAGTCTTTTGCAGCAGATTTGCCCAATGCAATATACATCATTTGATTTCTTGACTGCTGCTTCCACCAGCAGTGATTGTGGATCCAAGTAGAATGAAATCTTTGACAACTTCAGCCTTTTCTCCATTTATCATGATGTTGCTTATTGGTCCAGTTGTGAGGATTTTTGTTTTCTTTATGTTGAGGTGTAATCCATACTGAAGGCTGTGGTCTTTGATCTTCATCAGTAAGTGCTTCAAGTCCTCTTCACTTTCGGCAAGCAAGGTTGTTACCAGGAGGGACCAGTCCCTGGAAAAGGACATCATGCTTGGTAAGGTAGAAGGTCAGCGAAAAAGAGGAAGACCATCAACAAGATGGACTGACACAATGATTGCAAAATGGGTTCAAACATGGCAATGATTGTGAGGATGGCACAGGACAGGGCAGTATTTTGTTCTGTTTTACATAGGGTCACTATGAGTTGGAACCAACTTGACAGCACCTAACAACAAGAATGACATCATTATATCGCCATCTGAGAGAAGAGCAAATCTGAGGCTCAGAGAGGTAAAGTGAAGCTACTTTAGCCTGGCAAGGAATCCAGCCTAACGAGAACATACGAGTTGAGGAAAACAATTATGTTAAAAAAAAAAAAAAAGTTCAAGCAGATGAGCAACCAAGTCTAGAGAGATGCAACAAATAGTATAGACTCAGACAAGGTCCAGAGTCTGGCTGGTAAGCGAGTCAGCAAGAGTGACTTCAGTGAGCAGAGTTGCATTCTGAATCTGGGGTAGAGACCACTTGCTTTCTCCCTTGGTTTATATCACCTGCTAGATATTTCTTCCTAGGATATTTTTCAGTAGGTCCTGCTTGTTGGGAAAGATTGCTATGAGCGTAAGACTTGCATCTTATTCACTATCAGAAGGGTGATTATTTCCAAGTTATGTGAGTTGTTTTGCAGATTTTGTCAAAAGTAGAACCATCAGATTATGTGGCCTAATTTCCAATAGTTCACGTCCTTGCTTGAGCTACAGCTGTTCTCAATTGTCTAGTCATTCATTCTTCTACTTAATCATTCATTCATTCCATAAACATTTATCAATTCTAGGAACTGTGATAATCCTAGGAATATGAGAATCGTCCCCATTTTCAGAGGCCTTCAGTTTACTAGAGAAGGACAGATACATACATAAATAAGTACTGGAGTATTTTAGGTGCTGAAATAGAAGCCTAAGTGGAGTAGATGCTAGGAAAATGCATTGAGAATGATTGCAAGACTGGGGGTGATAGCTAAAGGGCATAGAGTTTCTTTTTGAAAATATTCTAAAATTAATTATGCTGATGGTTGTACAACTCTGTGAATATACTAAAAACCATTGAATTGTACACTTTAAATGGGTGAATTGTGTTATGTGAATAAATATCTCCATAAAACTGTTACAGAAATAAATATTTGTTTAGAAGATGGTTGTTAAGGAGAAAGTGGAATAATGCACATAAATGACCTAGTATACTCAGAAGAGGACATGGAACAAGGGATATCATTGCTGATGTCAGATGGATCTTGGCTGAAAGCAGAGAATACGAGAAGATGTTTACCTGCGTTTTATTGACTATGCAAAGGCATTTGACTGTGTGGATTATAACAAATTATGGATAACATTGAGAAGAGTGGGAATTCCAGAACACTTAATGGTACTCATGCGGAACCTATACATAGACCAAGAGGCAGTCATTTGAACAGAACAAGGAGATACTGTGTGATTTAAAGTCAGGAAAGGTGTGCATCAGGGTTATATCCTTTCACCATACTTATTCAATCTGTATGCTGACCAAATAATCCAAGAAGCTGGACTATATGAAGAAGAACAGGGCATCTGGATTAGAGGAAGACTTGTTAATAACCTGCGATATGTAGATGACACAACCTTGCTTGTTGAAAGTGAAGAGGACTTGAAGCACTTACTGATGAAGATCAAAGACCACAGCCTTCAGTACGGATTACAATTCAACGTAAAGAAAACAAAAATCCTCACAACTGGACCAATAAGCAACATCATGATAAATGGAGAGATTGAAGTTGTCAAAGATTTCATTCTACCTGAATCCACAATCAATGCGCATGGAAGCAGCAGTCAAGAAATCAAATGACGTATTGCATTGGGAAGATCTGCTGCAAAAGACCTCTTTAAAGTGTTAAAAAAAATAAATAAATAAAAGGAAAGATGTCACTTTGAGGACTAAGGACCCAAGCCATGGTATTTTCAATCCCCTTATAAGTGTGGGAAAGCTGGACAATGAATAAGGAAGAATAAAGAATTGATGCCTTTGAATTATGGTGTTGGCAAAGAATATTGAATATACCATGGACTGCTGGAAGAACAAACAAATCTGTCTTGGAAGAAGTACAGCCAGAATGCTCCTTAAAAGCAAGCATGGCGGGACTTCATCTCTGGTACTTTGGACATGTTATCAGGAAGGACCAGTCTCTGGAGAAGGACATCATGCTTGGTAAAGCAGAGGATCAATAAAAAAGAGGAAGACCCTCAATGAGATGGACTGACACAGTGGCTGCAACAATGAACTCAAACATAGCAACAATTGTGAGGATGGCACAGGATCAGGCAGTGTTCTCTTCTGTTGTACATAGAGTCAACAGCACCTAACAACAACAACATATTGCTTAGCAAATAGTTGGCATTCAATAAATGATAGCTCCTTCCTCTCAGTGCAGATGCATTTACTTCTTATACTAAACATTTACTGAGTTCCTACTGTATGTTAAAACAGTTGCCATCGAGTCACTCCAACTTATGGCAACCCCATGTGTGTCAGAGTAGAACTGTGCTCCATAGGGTTTTCAGTGGCTGATTTTTCAAAAGTAGAACACCAGGCCTTTCTCCCAAGATGCTTCTGGGTGGACTTGAACCTCCAACCTTTCAGTTAGCAGCCAAGAACGTTAACTGTTCGCATCAGCCTGGGATTCCTAGGGGAATCAGTAAACCCCTGTAATTGTAGGTAAAATTTGGTCTGTCTGGACCTACATTTTTCTGAGAAAAGGTATTTGGTTTTTAAGTCATAGGGCTCAAAACAGGTGTTTTTTTCATGATTTAAGGGAGAGAAAATGTTTATGATAGTATTAAGTAAAAACTTGGCTAAGTAAATAGAATGATTATATATATTAACTAATATGTGCTAATTCATACAGAAAAGTAGATATAAAAGCCAGCTATCAGTGTAAGTACTAATGTAAAAAGTATGACATTTATAATTACCACATTTTCTACAGGGAGTGGGCATTACATTTTTAACAACAAAAAAATATAAAGCCTAAGTACTAGGATCATATTGCCAATGGTTTCTCATTATGATTTTTAATATTCATTCTTTCTCTCCTTTTAGGAAACAACAATTAGTGAAATCCCTGAATTTGAAGTATTGAATAAGATAGTGCCTTTACCAAATTCCAGGTTAGTAAAGTCAAGAGAATCATCTGCATTCCTCGGAGTCATGGCTGCCTAACTAGTCTTTTTCTCCTGGCTTGAGAATGCATAGCATTTGGGGATATTTTATCTACATTTAGTATTTTTGAATCTTCTTCCAATTTCTTCTCCCCTCCCCATTCCTTCACCTCCGTACCTCACAGAATCTTGACATAAGGTAGGAGGTAACCCAGCAACATAGGTTTAAGGTAAGCTTTATTTGGTTTTCTTTGTATTTAACAGTTATAAAAAACTGAAGTCCTATTGATGCCTTCCTCATAACCCCAAACTGCTACCAGAGAAATTCTGTCTATGCAATATCTTTACACATGGCATTTCTTAGTTTTTCAGGAACAGGTTTGGTAGAGTCAGTTGGAAGTCTTCAAGAGATTGAAGAACATAAGTCACAAGAAGCAATGGCAAAGCCAAAGTCCGCTGAGTCTCTTTCATGTTCACAGAGTTCTGAAGTTGGATACATAAATGTGGCTTCTTTGAAATAAACACACAGCATCCAAGAACAAGACCAAAAGTCAGAACTATAAAATCACTGATGTCTAAAACTATACTGAAGTTTGGACATGAGGTGGAACTTGACATGGAGAAGAGTTACCACACATCTCCACTGGACATCAACCTGGAGTCTTAAAAATCGCTGATAAATTCATTAAACCAGTTCAAAACATAGATTTCTCAATTTTGTTTGATGTCCTCAAATGCCTTGTATTGATCAATATAATGACTTAAGTTAAATGATTTAATTAGGTTTCTGTTCAGCAGAGGACATATATGGTCAATTCAGCATTCTTTCCCACTATCACAGGTATTTTTTTCTTGTTATTCTTTTCATTGTAAAAACAATATAATAACATTAAAGCAAGTATTTCAAAAAGAAAAAAATCTCTTACAATCCCACATTCTTAACACAGCTACTTTCATTTTGGAGTTATTCCCTTCTGGTCCTTATTCAAATGCATATATTTTAAGTGGTTATTAGCTAGTATATTCATTTTCATAGTGTGATTTCTATTTTAATATACCATACAACATTTTCCTATATTTCAACACTATGCATAATTATTCTTTATTTTTGTTGTTAGGTGCTGTTGAGTTGGCTCTGACTCATAGTAACCCTATATCCTTTATTAGCCACATGATATTCTATCAAGTTGATGCTCTATAAATTACTTAACCATTCTCTTGTTATTTGACATTTAGGTTGTTTCTACTTTTTAACTATTTAAGATTATGCTGCATTGAACATCTTTGTGCATGTAGCTCTTTTCTTCTCTTGAATTATTCCAGAATACAAATTTACAAGATTGGCATAATTGGGTTAAAGCATATAAATGCTAATATGGCTTTTGGTACATCACTTGTCACATTTTTTTTAAAGGGTTGTGGCAATATAAGGTTTCAATAATGAAGTTACTCAACCTCTTTAAGCCTTAATTTCTTGTTCCATAAAATGGGACAGTAGTACTTAGCCTATAGTGGTGGTGTGAAAATCAAATGAAATGGTACATAAAGTACTTAGCACTTAGTAACTGCTTAATAAATACTGTCTATCATCATTTATTTTCACGAGCAGTGTATGAGTGTACTAGTTCCTCCACAACCTTATCAACATTAAATACTATAAATTTTTAAAATTTATTCCAAAATAGTATAAAACTCTTCAGGGTGACTGCTGCTGCTCCTTCCCGTCCTCCTTTTCCTCCTCCTCTTTCTTCTTTTTCAGCTGGAGAGGGAGTGCAAGGGGAAGAGAGGAAGTAAGCAGAAATAAAAAAAAGATCCCTTAAGTTGAGACATACTGAATTTTTTTTTTTTTTATTGTACTTCAGGTGAAGGCTTACAGAACAAATAGTTTCTCATGAAACAGCAGTACACATGTTGTTTTATAACATTGGTTAACAACCCCACAACATATCAACCCTCTAACTTCTCAACCTTTTTTTTTGTTTGGTGAAAATACACATAGCCAAA